TGATACAGGCACAGTGTTATAGAAGATGTTATTAAAAAGCATTATTGACTCGGTTCTCTATCTGTTATTTTAGCTCTTTATAGAACTCAACTCATACAAGGGACTAAAAGTCAGGGTTGGACAAACATTGAGTGTCAGTGTCAACGTTCGTCGGACAGATGCAGCTCTCGTGTATCATCTGTCAGACCAACGTCTGCTTGAAGAATAGAAGGTTTGACAGTTAGAAAGCAGCGTGACCCTCTCTGCTCCTGCTGCAGATTACATAACATGACTAGGTACTAAAAAGTTCTACCTCCTCATCCCCTCCTCTCCCTCCTCCTCCAGCTTCCCACACAGGAGCAGGAGACAGACAACAGTGGTACTTAAGGGGGCCAAGAAGTCATGCAAATTAACGTCAGTCAGCATTGGTATTTTTTGGCCCTCCAGAGCCCCTGTAGAGGGATGTGCGGGGCCAAATGAGTATAATTGGGCCTCAGCTGATTAGCGAAGAGGGTCTCTACAGGAGGGAAGGGGGGGCGGTGAGAGGAAGAGAAGCTGGAGAGACGTGAGGAGTGAAAGAGCAGGGGCTTTGAATCAAACAGGAGGAGAAGGAAGAGAGGAACTGACAAAACACGCAGAAGAAGAATTGGAGAGAGCAAAAGAGCGTTAATACATGTAGTTCATTTTCATCTCTGCTGCCGTGTTCTCATCCTCTCCACTTTGTGCTCTGGCCTGTGTTCGTTAGTTGTGAGTTAGAGGTGAGGAGACATTAGGACTGAGCATCCAAAGTTTGTATTCAATGATTTGAAGTATTCCTCTGCTTTATTTATTCTCTTATAAACAACAGCTTGATCAGGGGAAGATGGTGGTTATGGTTTTAAGAAGTTGAGCATTGAATGCAGGTCTGAGTGAGTGAGAACTAGATGATTTGATCTTTAGATCCAGGGGTCACAAGTACACAGGACTCGCCTTTGTACACCATGGTTTTTTTTTGTGCTTATTAATATTCTGTCAATGTTTTTTTATAAACCTGACAAAAGTCGATGCAAGCTTTTAAATGATGTTGGATATTTGAAGCTTTTATTTTTTACAGACAATTTTTTTTAAATGTCTCTTTCAATATGAACACATCGAACCAATCAGAATGTGTTCACATCGTAGAACGTCCTCCTCTATCCTGTCTGATACACAGTTTTGTCGATTTATTTAATATGTCTGTAGCCAATCACAGTTATCAGGTGACCAAACAAAAATGAATAAACCAAATGCACACAACTGGAACTTTCGACAAACAAACCTTTGTCAAATAAAAAAATACATTTGGTATTAAATGTTCTTATACGTCCTGAAGCGGCTGTGCTACCAAGCAGTCAAACTCTCTTCATCAATAGAGGAGAACTTCATCATCATCGTTCCATGTTGATTCCATCTGTCTTTTCCAGAGGCGCAATCTTTTTTCAATCCTTATAATTTATTTGCGGAATAGAGTTACTGTGAATAGTTGCCTTATTTGTGCCATTTGTTCACATGGCAGATGATGTACAAAGGTCTTTATACACATCTCTCACCTTTAATCATGTGGTTTCAACACCGTGCAACTAAAGCAAACATTTCTGAAAATCCTTCACCGAGAGAGAGAGAAGGGAGCCGGTCCTCTGCTGTTCCGTCGTGAGACAAAATCTCAACACTAAAAAGAAGTGGTTTGACCTTATCACAGGAGACATTTGGACTTCACAGAATGAGCTTTTACATGCTTCCCATTGCCCTTTACACACACACACACACACACACACACAC